GATGAAGAAACTCACCAAGGACTGCAGGGGCAGGTTCTTCTGGGGCTCTCTACGCAGCATTCTTCCCTCCAGGTGATGGGGCAGGATCCACCTGCCATGTCTGTTAGACAGGCCAGGTCAGTATAAGCATAATAATGAGATTAGGAGAAAGGAACTGGGTGAAACGTTATCAGCCACTTGAAAGGGCAGGTCCTGATGACCACAAATAATGTGTTAGTTTTGTGTAAGGGAGCAGGGACCAGAGAAATCCAGGCTGCGGGAGTACATGCTTTGAAGTTTTGAAACAATGTTTTTACTTATACCAGGAAAGGCTGAAAGAGATAGAAGACAAACATAGAAGAGAGAACATTCTTATTTTAAAAGATGTAGCCATGTATACTAGGCTTTTCCCTTTTATTTTTTATTACTGTTCTATGTTGACCAACACCATGGTAAAATGTCACCATTCTTTCAGTGTGTTCTAAGTGGGGAACTGCTGATCAGGCAAAAGTCAAATAAGTTTTTTTTCTTTTTACAAATTGGGGCAGGAGTCACATTTCTGTTGTTTTCTTGTTTTTGATTTTGTTTTTCCTGGCCACTGCTGGGTGATTACAGATGAACCAGAAAATGCTCCAAATGCTCTTGTCGCTTTTCTTGTGTAAAGCCAGATTTCATATTGCAAAAGTGGTGCTGGGTTGTTGCCATGGCGTGAATCTAGAACATCCTCTATCCCCACTGCACATGCGCAGAGTGCCTGGCACATGCACCCGACGGTAACTCGGTGGTGTTAGGTCAGTGTTCTCATCTGTAAATGAGGGCAGCTAACAGTGTATCCTTCATTTGGCTTTTGCTAGGTTTTATGTGAAATAGCACTTAGTAGGGATTCTGAGCTGTCATGTGTGTCCCAGAAGTACTGGTTGCTATCACAATGATATTTTCTGCCAGATTCTAGAAACAAACGCTTGTCAGATATGTTAAACTAAGAATATGCATCATGTAATTTGGGCAATGAATGTTCTTCCTACATCTTAATTGTCTCCTTTAATCAAACCTTCCCGTTGAGGAAATTGTTATAAAAGGAATGTAGAGTTCAATTTTCAGTGTATGCATGGGTCATGTGTTGCTGGGAGGTGTGAACAATGACACCTTCCACCTCCACGCAGTTACCTCATGAGATCATTGGCACCTGGAAGAAAATGGTCAGTTACGAATCCCAAGGAATTACAGGCTTGCATAGGCTATGCAGATACTGTGGTTCTGTGGGCACCTTCTCTTCGGCCTCACCCACATAGGCAGCCTTTATTGAGCAAAAGCGGCTGTGGTCAAGCTTATCTCAGCCCACTGGGCCCCTATCTGATTCCTATAAAGCTATGAGGAAGGTAGGACTCATAGGGAGAGGCTTGAGAGGCCACCCTTAAAGAAGATAAGAGCAACTATGGTGCCTCCCTCCTGGAAAGGGATAGAGGAAAGTCTGTTTTCCAATTGTAGCTGGAGACCTGGGGATGTTAGCTCAGGGATGGGGTCTCTGAGGTTCTGGGTTTGATTCTCAACCTTGCAGAAAAGATTGTAGTTAAAGAGAAAGATAAAGAAATGTAGTTGATTCTGACATTGACAGTTCTACAGATAACCCACTACTATTATGAACTACTGGAATATATTGGATTATTTTGCTGAATTCATGCACCTACCATATTTAAATGGCAATAGAATACCCTTCTTTGACAAAACTAACAAGAAAATGGGATACAAATGAAGGAGTACAAAATAGTTAGGCTAGATATACAGCTACTTTCTTTTAATTCAATGAGAAAAAAGATTTGTACTAATAGTGTTTGGACAGGATTATCATGTCTGCATCTTGTACTATGAATAACCACTATGAAGACAACAATATGCAATGTATTAATTATTATTTTTTTAAATGTATCAGGTATTTAATTAGGTTCTTAGTAAGAAATTTAGAACACTAATTTATGAGGATAAATTCCATTTGTCAGAGTAAAAACGGATCACAGGTAGCCCCAGAGCTGAGGAACACCTTTGATTTTTACCAAAATCTCTGAGTCCACCACTTTCTGATCCACCTTGCGCTGCTCTGAAATCTGGTATCTCTCTTTCTCGGTGTCGAAGATCTC